TTTTCCGATTAAAGAACCGTAATTCGTCCATTAATATCACATGACAAATCCCATGATCTCTCATTTCCCTCACGCAAAATAATGCGTAATCGGAACTGAGTACTGCTCACATTATTACCAAAGTCCCAGGTAGTAACCTTTATCGCCTCCAAAATGTCGCCAAGCTACCAGTTACCATATTGTAAAGATCAACCGGATTTACAATCTTCGTCTAACCTTTCACATTGGATTTTGCCTTATCATTTTAAAATATATTGTATTATAAAGATTAAATCAAAGCAAATTACTTTGTTAGAGATGTGAATGTTCTGACTGAATTTTCTTTTTATCACTTATTATTTAATTGCAGTACTTAAGTTTCGTATTTAATTGCAAAAAATTTAACACCTCATACAATTGGAGAATCGCTCATTCTTCCTTCAGCAATTAAAATGACATCATTTATACTTGCAGAAAAATATACTAATGATTTAAAAACAATAGCATTAAAGAAAGATACCGTTTCTCACTAAATTTCTGTAATATATCAGACACTATAGAATACAAAATCCAGTCTTTACTACAAAACTTGATGAAACTACCGACATTAATAAAAATGTCTCAATTCACCGTTTATCTGAGATACGTTTTTGAAGACGACGCAGTAGAACATTTTTTATGTTGTAATATTTGGAAAGGAAATGCAACTGAAGAGAAAATATTTGAAATTATTAACAGACATTTTGAAAAGAATGATCTTATCTAGACACACTGTGTGTCGCAGTTTGTACTAATGTAAGCTTTTAAAACTAAGACAATACTTTGGCAAGGAGAATTAAACAAACAAACAAAAAAAAAAAAAAAAAAAAAAAAAAAGAAACATGCTTTTCACAATTTACTAAAGAAAATAATACCATAGACTCCAACCTTCAGCAAACCTTGTCAGTAGTCAACGCGCGAACGACATTTTTACAACTTTGAAAATGTGCACGTAGCGTATGTTGTAATTAACCATTCATTAATTTAAAATTAATAATTAATTGTAATCAATTTTTACATTTAAAATCCATATACATATAAAACTGAATAATTAAAAATATACCTTGTAAATTATATGCACATTTAATTAGAAAATTTCTTTAACTCCTCAAGCATTCACTAATAAAAAGTACTTCCAATCACTACTAATCATAGAAAAAATCAGAAGCTTATAAATATATCTTTATTCTGGATATGATTTCTACAGGGAAATAAAATTTAAATAACCAAGAATGATACATATAAGTATTAAACAAAATACGCATAATTTATGAATGCAAAGATTTATATGTAGTATCTTAGCAAGCTTAAGTTCTGATTTTGGAATGTTTTTTTATAACACAGTTCTTCATTTGCTGCATATTTATTTTTTTTCAATCAAACTGCTTCAAGAGTTTAAGACCTAAATTTGGTCGAAATTCCGTCTGATTTTTTTTAACAATAGAAAAAATTCTTTCGCAAGCTGCATTTGAATGAGGTATTATTAAGACAGCAAGCATTACAGAAGGCAATACTTTGTATTTAATACACCCATTCATATTTTTTAATTTGGCAATTTCTCCCCATGCTATCAATACGCAAATCTACAATTTCTTTCAAATCATCTACTTGATACATGGAAAATTTGATTTCTACTTGATTAAGACATTTTTCATCAATATGGATGGAAAGTATTCATCAAGTAAGAACAGATGAAAATGAGACTTCAGTTCTCAAGTTGATGTCAGCAACTTCAGCATGTTTTAGAAATGGATCACTCAGTGGAAATTTATCAATTATATATGAACATGCAGTTACAAAAAAAAGCTCGCACAGAATGAAAAATGATTTCACTTCACTTTCATTCAACTTGGCTTTTTTTTAAGTATAGTCTGTTTCCGCACCAATCACTAAATTTTCATTTTCTTTTTGTTTACTATACTTCTGAAATGGAATAGACATTAGAGTACATCTTCATTTTCTTTAGAAATTACTGATGGTTTTATGAATCTAACAAATAAATTCATTAAAAGTTCAAAAAGTTCTCTTCTCAATTTATGTATATAAGGAGCTTGTGTTGCAATTAATATTTACTGTTATAAACAAGTCAAAGTATTTTTCAAAAATAACAAGTACAATTTGGTGGTCGGTGACTGTAAAATTTTTTAATGTTTTACAATCTCTTTCCTTCATTCTCACTGTTATCTGGTTTATCTCCAAAAAAATTATCACAGCATCCCACTGTTCCAAAATCCGGTTATAGATTCTAAAAGAGACAACCATTTCGTACTGCAATATTTCAAAATTTTATGAGATTTTGCATTCTGTCCCAAATTTGTTGAGCAGTTGAAGCTTGCTTCCTTCGAACTTTTCTCCAAGTAAAAATATATATCTATCAACATTTCAATTTCTGAGCCAATTAATTTTTCAGTAGCTTTTTTTTTGCAGCTATATGCAAGAGGTGGCACGGACAACCTCGGGTGATTATACTTGGTTGATGCATTTTGATAATATGCTACACCTTTAAACTTTCCAATCATATTACTAGCATTATCTGAAGAAAATGATAAGCAATTTTTCCATTCTAAACCTTTGTTTTAAGTTTTCATTATACAATTAAAAATACCTTCTCCTGTATTATTCGTGCATTCTAAAATAGAAATCAATGAAGTAATTATCACTCCCTTTTCTTACTGTAGTATGTTATAACCAATGGTACAGTTTGTTATCATTACTTCATCAGTACTTAGAGAAAATATGTACTGCACACTGATTTTATAATATCAGCAACAGTATTTTCTGCAAGCGTTTTCACAATAGCAGCAGTTTTGGTATGACCGCAGCTAAATTTTTTTTGCTACGGCAGAATCCAGAAACATTGCTTTGAACAGCTCTTGGAATGATCCGAAACAGAAAGCGTAGATTATGTTCATTAAAAAACGAACAAAATAGCATTCGGCTTTTATAGGACCTGTTTCATCATCTTTTATTAAGAAATTCATTGTTTCTTTAGATTTTACAGTGCCAAGTTCTATATGCTTTTGAGAAAAACACATGCCTGTTTACAGTCATCTTTTTCGCCATGTGCAACTGAGAAGTCTTGTTGCATACACTGCAGTGTGCGTGATTCAACAGAAATTTCGGATGCTTTAATGCATGGAAATTCTGAAGAATAGGAATCTTTAAATTTCTGCTTTGATAATTTAAGGCTTTCTTCATTCGAGGTAGCATTATTAACAAAAAAACTTCCAACCTGAATTCACACTTCACAAGACACACTCTAAGCTCTCGTAAACGTACATCCAAACGATGAAGCCGAAGGCAGGCTAAACACGCAGCAGCAACAAACCTGGGAGACAGACAAAGAAGACAGATGTTGCGGGGGAACTATTGACAAGTAATTAACAGTTGGAGTTACCTGATCTACGATTGGCTATTCTTCAAAACCAGCAACGCTCTCAACACGTGATATATGATAACACGAGTATTCAGCCCAATCATCGGATGATGAATTAGTTGGTTCCGTTTTGCGTACTGGTTTTCCTGCTCTTATTTCTGTAAAATCCGTAGTTTTTTCCATACTTTTCGTAGCTCGTAGTTTTTCATAAATTTCCGTAGAAACTACGGAGAATCCGTAGTAGTTGGAGTCTATGAATAATACAGATTTCTTGTTTAAAACCACATATGATAAAATTGACAGAAAGTTTTTTGAAAAATTTCCAAATAAGGAATTAGGTTGGACCTGTGACCCATTTTGCCTTTGGTGTTTTCAATTCCAATGTATCTCTAAATGAAAACGAACAATTAATTGATATTTTAAGTGATGGAATACTGTGTGTTAAGTCTCTAACTTGCCAAAAATTTTAGTTGATTGGAAACTAATATGCCGATTTAAAAGGAATGAAAGTAAATTATTACGTTTCTTACATAAAATTGTACAGTAAACCTTTAGCTTCTATTTAAAAATTCTAAAATGCTTATGTTACATTTTTCTGTTATATAAGCATTGAAAGTGGATTTCTCACTGAAATAGAAATAATTTTGCTATTGAATTAACATGGAGAACCTTTTTATTGAAATATTTTTTTCTCTGTGACATTAGTTGCATCTACTACAAAATAAAGATTAAAGAACTGTTTTTAAACATTTTGAATTCATTGTCATATTGATCTATGAAGCACTAGATTAGTGAGTTTTTATTACATTATTGACAAATATAGTTTTTAAACAATCAAAAAATTTAAAGCGGAGATAATTATTTGTCAAATATGAATGTGTTTTCAAAGAGGAAATGAATAATAATAAGAAAATTCAGTCAGAACATTCACATCTCTAACTAAGTAATTTGCTTTGATTTAATCTTTATAATACAATATATTTTAAAATGATAAGGCAAAATCCAATGTGAAAGGTTATGCGAAGATTATGATAGTACCTAGAGTATTCAGCATTTCGTATAATCCTATAACCAGATAATAATAATATTAAAATAAATTTTATCTGAATGAAGTTTTCTTATTACAGAAACAGTAAAATTATGCAATTACATAAACGAATACACTTTCAGACAATATACTTAATACTGTTTACAAGCGCAAGCCAAAGTTCTGTTTATGTTACTTCTCGCCCTTCAGCGCATGCTCAAGAATTACCATCCAGGCGAAACTAGTCGATTTGTCCATGACGTCAAAAACTCGAAAAGTGGGGTAGGGTTTGGAAATACGCCGCGAAGGCTGCACCCTATACTAGGATTTTACCCCATTATTTTGAAGTGGACAAGAAAGTGGTGAGAAATTGGCGCAAACAAAGGATGTGTTTAAAAAGCACGGGAATATTGCCGTATTAAAAAAACGTAATTTCGGACGTATAGTCCGCGGACTATCCGGTGGTGTGGACTATCTGACGATTTTTGAAATTTTTTTTATATAACATCGTGTCTGCGGACTATACGTGCGAAATTATGGTATTTAAGAAACAATTCAACATGAAACAAAAAATCATTGTTTCGAGTCTCTTAATCAAAGCTGAGCCAAGTTTATTCCAACTGCTTAATATAAATACAGTATAAAAATACATACATAAAATTTTTTTGATTTAATTATAAGTATACAAATTAACATCTAATATATATTTTACATATGGAATTCATAATACATTTCTCATTTAATGAAATTACTTTTCAGAGTTAAACAGTTCGCTCATATTTTATTTACACAATTCACATTTTTTACAGAAAAGAAATATCAGATTCATTTATGTTTTCACATGTGTAATTTTCAAATGTTAAACATATCTATTTGCTTATATCATAATAAACAGTTATATAAAAAATGCATAGTAATGATACAGAAAAACTATAACTATTCTGATTAATTAATTAAAGCAATAACTTATTTGAATTTTCTAGTCAATGGAATTAAATATTCATTAAATCAATATTTTACAATATTTTGTCATTATTTTACATAATTTTTTAAAAAATAACAACTAATATGGATGCTATATAAAAAACCATACTATATTCTGGGAAAAAAAAAAAAAAAAAAAAAAAAAAAAAACATTAGTAGAATTTAGTTTAATCTCGGAGAATAAGCATACTGCTCATGAAACTATGTACAATATTCAACAGTAACTAAATCTGATATTTTACATAGATTATACACAGCTGTTTTTGTAGCTGAAATTTAATACTGTCACCTAATAACAAACAGTGTATTTTTCCAAAAGGCAATATTATGCTGCAGCATCAAAAAATGTATCTATGGTATTAGATACATCAGTTGGTGTATATTTTATATATTTTTCTGTATTCTTTGTGAAACCAGCATCAATATATCTGAAACAAAGAAAGAATATTAGAAACAGAACAATATCTATCAGCATGTACTATTTTCGTAACAACAACATACAGAATTTTAAATTTTTACACTGACAAGAAATAATAAATACAGGAATTATCATAATTAATTGAAGGTAAGACCTTGAATATAACAGGTTCTATATATTTAATGATGTATTTAAAAAAAAAAAAGAAAGTGCAGGTGAATATTAGATGACAGCATGCATTGGTGGTGATTTCAAGCACTTCTCTGACTCTAAGACCATTTTATTAAATGAAGAAGCTCGGAAAAGTACAGTCAGAAGTCGTTAATCCGGACTCGTCGGGACTTTGGCGATTCCGGATTATCGATTTTTCCGGATTATAGATCATCAGTTTAAATCCTGTAAGATGGCATGCAGAAATTATCAAATTAAAAATATGAAACCATAATTTATGAAATAAAGAACAATTATGATCTAAAGGGTATCAAAATTTACAAAAAAAAAAAAAAAAAGCTTAATATTTTTTGCTTTATTAAACATTTCTTTCAATGTAAGTTGTTTAAATTGCTTCGTATTTTATGTGATAATACTTTCTCTTTAATTCTATAAACAGACATAATTTCTTACATGTCCAGTTACAAAGTTCCGCTGTTCAAGTCCTATAATTGCTATGTCGAGAATACTGACTGATTTGTCAATCGAAATTTTTTTGTTTTTAATAACCTCTGTGTCACTTCGCAATCGGAAGCAAATTACAATGACGAGGAATTTGATTTAAATCATATCAAAGACGGAGTACATCGAGATGAAATACTACATTTAGTAAGGAATTACAAGCCAAATAAAATAAAAACGTCTGCCCTGAAGATAAGGATAGTGCTGATAGATCCACTTCCAATTCATTTCGTGCCGCGGCGTCCCCCCCGCCGCAGAGTAGCGTGAAATTGATAAACAGATTTTGGAATGGTTAGATAAACAAAGGATATATATGCCTTTATCCATTTTTTGAAGCAATTCCACTTTTTGTTTAATGGACTTCGAAACATACTTTCGCTTTGTAGATCCTTTGCATATTAGTAAATATATATCGGAAATTCTATTTGACATAATCGAAAGTTCAAGCTACTTTTATAAAATTGCTCTAACAGTCTGCTAAAAATAATAAGCTGGATCCAATTTGAAGAATAAGGAACAATGCAATCTGCAACATTAACTGAATTAGATAATTTTAGCTTAGCTTACACCGTTCGTTATACATTAAACGCACATGCGTAAATGTATTTTGGGCATGTGCACACGCATATTTGCAGCCGTCAACGTGACACATGCCCAGAAAGTTTGTAGCTCCGAGGTCCGGATTATAGATCATTCCGGATTATGGGTGTCTGAATTAACGACTTTTGACTGTATTTAACAACAAATGATTATTATTGATGATCTGGTTGGAAGGCATTTTGTATATATTTTTTAATGTTCAATTATCTTTATTGATAGTTTTCTAGATGTTGAATCAATTAAGTTATTGTGTTTGTATCTTCACTGAGGATCGCGAGAGAATGTACACCAGAAGCATCTGTTGTGGCGACGTCTGACTTTTCTCACTCTAACAAATTCCAGATGAACGGACCTGGGGTAAATGGAAAGTTTTATAACCAAATATTTTGAAAACAGAATTGGCATATGGGATGAATAGTAGGGGCATGCTCTAATAAACTGGCTTTTTTTCGATTCTTGCATCGGTAACAGCTTTACTTTTTGAGAAAGAACTACAGAAGATTGTGTACTGATTTCCTTGGTAAGTTTTCCCACAAAATCGGGACAGTATCTATTATTTTCTGCAAATTTATAGTATGTATTTATATTCATTTAAAAAAAATCTAGTGTAGAAGAGGTATCTTTCACATGTCTTAAACAGAAATTAAAAAACAGCCATTTTATGGGAAACATATGGGATTATTGCTAGGTTGCCGGACAATAAAGTAGTCTGAAAAATACTGCCATTTCGAAAGTTAAAAGATTAAACAACTGAATGCTATAGCCAACTTCTCTATTAATCATAAACTGAAAGTTGAGGAAGTTTCTTGAAATAAATGAAAACAAAGCTTTAAGTTCCTCTTCTACAAGCTTCCATGCAAAATTACCATCATTATACTTGTTCTAAACATTAAATCCGTAGATTTTGCTATATAAGAGTCACACTTATTGAGTTTTATTTATTATAACGTGTATAAACTTTCCTAAACATAAGACAAGGAAAACATAAAAAGTTAGATTTTGTAATTTTTACATTTTTTTCAAATGTCACAGCATGAATATTTAAGTCATTTAAAACATTTTTTAAACTAGAAAGATATGTCTGCAACCAATAGTTGGCCAAGTTACAACTTCAGTGTACAAATGTATATAACTTTACACCATTATCTACAATACTTAGTAGCACCTTGAAACTCCTATTATTAATTTTTATATTTAAAAAAAAATAATGCATGCGAATTAGAAATTATTCAGTTATTTATTTTATTATACATTAAAATATGCCCTGCGTGCAGTACAAATCTTTTGAAATATTTAATATAATAAATGAAAAAATCCTTAGATGGCTGATGTGATATGAAACAATAATTATGAACACATCTAAAAATAAAACTCGTTTCATCAATTACACATTAAAACGTTATTCAGGGGTGGGGGAATAAAAGGTGGGAAGAAGCAATTTCTAAATATTTTTTTTAGGATGTAAGTAAGTAAAGCACAAAAAAGTGTATGAAAGAGTAAGAAACAAATATATTTACTTTTCATAAAACATGGTATACTTGGGAAGTATAAATTCTTTGTTATCTCTTTTCAAACTTTCTCTCAGTTCTACATCTGGTACTGCATAAGCTTTTTGTGTCCGTGTTATTTCTTCCATTTCTTTATTAAAACCAGCAAATTTATCTTTGATGTTCTGTTTATCTTTCTCTCTCAACTACAAAAAGTTTCATGAATGAATATTTAACAAATGCAGTGTTAATTTTAACCCTTTGAGAGGCATGCCTGCCGTTAATTGGTCATGAGGTTTTCTTGTCATTTGGCATATATGAGCTTACAATTTAAAATATGTTGCTGTTTTGCTTTATCTAATGATGTAAATATCATCTTAATGAATGAAAGTTTATAAAAACAGAAACTAAAATAACCAATTTTACAAATTTAACTAATGAATGCTGCTTAAAACAGGTCTACATGAGCACATGCAAAAAGTCATGCCACTCAGAGGGTTAATAGATATTTTATTTATTTTTTCAATCAAACAAAAATATTTATAATTCTTAAGAACAGTTAAATCTTAAACTAACAGAACTGCAGATATGATGTTACATTCATCATTAATAGAGGATCCCTCCTTTTAACTTCCTTGTACAAAGAAAAAAGGAAGTACTGTAATCGCGAAAAGTTTCAGACAATATATATCAACAAAAATATCCATTTTGACTGCTATTGAATGCAATTTAATGATGTTTTTGCGTGATATCTGTATGTAAGAACAGAATAAAAGACTCTTTTCCTCCGAAAAAATTATAAAGCTGCTTTAAAATGAATTCTGAAGAGAATTTTTCGTGGCATCTGTATGAACGTATGTACGTACATACATATCTCGCATAACTCAAAAATGAGTAGCCTCAGAACGTTGAAATTTTGTATATAGGGCTGCTATAACATGTAGATGTGCACCTAGTATTTTGGTTGCAATCGGCTGCACCAAACGTATATAAATATATTTATATATCCACTCTGTTACCTGGCTCAGTGATCTCAGTTTCTTTACTCATATATGTTTGTAAATTGTACATTATTTTGCTTTAAAAATGATTCAATTATGTTGTCCTTATCTTCCGGTTAAGGTTTTTATGCCTTTAGTAAATCTGCAAGCAATATTTGTAAACAATTTAAAAGCTGTTTAAGCCTAATTTTTGAATAACATGGTGGACATGTTTATTTACGTTTGAAACAGCAGAATAGTAGATTTATTGCCAATGTAGAGAGACTAAGCTTTGTAACAATAAAAATAATGCCTTCATTTATTATTGCGAATTAAATCATGCTTAATCCTCTCTGGAATTTTTTCGAAGAAATAAATGTTTAAGATTTACTTGGTAATTTTTAATACAGATATTTTGAGTTTTTATGTATTTTTGCCTTGTCGCGAAGTGAGAATTGAATTAACTGAATGAGAAATACTCAATCGTCTGTGAAAAGTTGTTTGCTTAATTTCTTTTATACATCATTCTAGCTTTATTATAGTATTTGAATAGAACATGTAGCAACAATTAGATAATTCTTTAAATGATACAAATTTTGTGTATTTCGAGTTGTAATATGAACGACATATAATACTGTTAAGTGAACCTAGCACCAGAGTGTCTCTATGGTAAACAAATAGAGAGAATTTTAAAGAATGCATTTATTCTATTGCGGTTTATGCACTGTTGGCAAAGTAGATTTAATTCAATCCAATAAGTTTAAATGAAATGCAAGGAAAAATGCATATAATTTAATATTCCGTACAGGGAAGTCATGTGGTGTACACATCAGATTTTTTAAAATTTGTTTTTATAAGCCACAGAAATTCTTTGGAGTTCCAAGCAAATGTTAAGTTCTCAATATTATATACCCCTATTCCGTTATTTGACATCTTTAAGTTAGAACATTATAAACTTGAATGTTTTCTACTTTCACAACTGCTTAAGACTTATTATCTCTCATTTTGCGCAAAATAATACTTAATGTTATTAAAATCAGCTATATTTACCTTAAGACTAGTAGGTGCTCGTGCAGTATTTAAAGATGCTCTTTCGTGAGAAATGGGCTTATCAACTTCCATGACATAATGCAATACTCGACTCCAACTGTGAAGAATATTTACGATAATTATTATGTATTTAAAAAATCATTTACGTTATACTGATACAAGTCACAAAAATGAACCAAAAATACACAGACTATGAAGTGATTTTGAGAAACACACTTGGAGAAAAAGTGTGTTTTGCTTAGTCTTAGCTATTTTTCAGGAAATTCAATGGTGTTTAAGTAAAAAGAAAATTTACCATTTTTTCAGCAAAAAATTATTATAATATCTAACTTAACCGTTTTTCTCCCTCTCATGACATTAATTCTTCTTCACTGAAAAAGGAATTTGTAAAATTTACACAAGTGCTAGTCACCTGTCTTAATTTTGTAGTGAATACATCTTGTATTTTTTAACGAATATTTTGATTTCCATTGCTGAAAATACATATTTCTTCATACTTATGTTCTTCATTTACCATTGTTCTACCTGCTTCCACTGTAAACACTTCTGAACAATAATCAAGTAGAGAAAAATTTAAGTGATGTTCTAATAGATATGGATTTTTAATTCAATGTTGTGTTGATTACAAAGACAGATAAATTTGTGCCTTCGGTTTTTCAAGCATTAGTTGCTAAAAGATATACATTTATGTTTTCATTCCTAAAAATATTAATAATTTTCATAAAGATTTAAACAAATAAAAAATATGCAAAATATTACAAATACTCATCATTCAACTGTAACACTTCATTTACCCTGAACATTTGTGGTCACATGTGATAAAAGAGATTAACAAATAGCAGTTAAATCAAGAAATACGGTTCTACCTCATTTTTTGCTTATAATTAATTACTCTATTGTAACTTAATTAACCTTGTGGAATTGATGTCAGGTGACTCTCATCAGTGACTGGGGAATATTCTAACTTCAAAAATAAAAATGATATAGCAAGCATTAAACATTTAGTGCATCACTACTGTTAAATGGCATCAAGTAATACTTGATATCACGTAACCACCATGCCAGGCCATAAAACATACACAACAGAGACATGTTAATATGTGGACAGCATTCAGCGTTTTTTTAATTTTGTATATTTACAATGAACTATAATTATCATGGATTGTATTACATGATTATGGTAAAGAATATTAAGAGCATCTGCTAAAGCGGGGACACCTCCATGAAGGATTTTCCAGAGAAATTGACTCATATTCATAATACACATGGAGAAAAATATTAAAACATTTATGTAGTTGTTAAATTTCAATTGCAAACTTAATTCTTTATAACTATTATTATTCTTCGTACATGAAATCCTACATGACAAACACTATAATGTCTATTTCCCATAAATTCATAATGGCGTCAACTTCAGTGAATGCATTTGTCAGGGATAACAGTAATGGGCAGCTAACTATATACTTCTTTAGAACACTTATGCATATTACCATGATTTATCTAATGCCCTCCAAAAAACAATTCATGGGGGGGGGGGGAAAACAGAAATCTCTCTTTACCTTTGTGAATACACTCTTTTTTGGTCCCTTATTTGGTCATTATAATAACTCTCTACTCCAGGATTATGTATTTGAACTATTTCAAGTAGGCCAGTCCTGTCAAAGAAATAATATTTTCAACAATAGCTAATTAATTGAGAAAATTTTTATAAATTTATCTTCAAGTCAATTTTACTACATATATATTGTTTACAGGGTTCGTACACATTTCTGCACACAGAAATTGAGTACTTTTAAGGACCATTAATGAAAAAAATTAAGACCTATTGGTAAATGGAAGCTGAATAAATTCAGTTAAAGATATTATCTATGCCTGAACTTCACTTTTATAATGCCATCCTAAGAATAAAATAGATGATTCATTATTATTAAACATAATTATAAAACAAAATGGAACATAAAATCAACTTTAAATCAAATTTATCAAGTAGCATTGAATGTTTTACACTTACAATGGTTGGACATATTTGACAGAAGATTAGTGACATTTTATTTATGTTTTATTAACAGTTAGCTTCATACTGATTTTTTCTTTTGTTTCCGTTTGTCACATACTTCCTTAGCCTAGAGGTTTAGTAAATAGTAGGTAGATTTTATGTCAAATGACATAGGTGAAAATGAGAAATAAAATCCTAATCAGTATGATTCGCAACAGAAGCTTGGCTGTTGCCACCGCTGCTGCTTCCTTAGAGAGAGACCTGCTGATCAGATCAAACCTGAAAGCCTGATGTATGTACGGTTTGCAAGGTTTGAAAGATAGTTGTGCTCTGTCTGTCTGATGCAGATAGTGGCGTAGCTTTGTATAGAGCTTCTCGGGTTGTAATCCAGTTAATACAATTTAAGATACCAATAAGCCATTAAAGCACCAGAGGTGACAAGTTGTTTTGTATTATTTTACGTCTTGCTAGATGCAAAGAATAAATTTTAGATAATTTTTTTCATTCTTGTGCTGTGTCTTATAATCACAGTAAGGTTAATGAAAGGCAATAAATTGCCTTGATATGCAGAGATAATTTTAAGGCTTAGAAGCTATTACAAATAATTAAATTGAGTAGTTAGATACTCTTAGTTATTATAAATTTACATGGCCACTATAATTTTAAAATGTTTGTTAGAAAAGCACTATTAAAATCACAATTTAATAATATTTCACAGTTTAAAATGGAAGTAATTTATAACATTAATTCTTAAACAATATTAGGATCATTACACATTAAAATCTACAAAATATTTGTGTTTTATAACAAGAACACACAACAAAATATTTATGCATCTTTTTAATTTGAAGCCTTCCCAGACATTTTAGCTGATTTATATCAATTTCCTTCTCTCTAGGCACATTTTCTAACAATTAGAAATTGGTTTCAATATGCAAAACAATGTTCCCACTAGTTTCTGCATACGTTACCTCCTAACTTGTCACTCTTCTGACAATGTACCTATGAGGTTTTGCATGAGCTGGTGAAAGTTAAATAGTCCAAAACCTCTGATAGACATAAAGCAAATTATCGCTACATCTCAAAGTAACTACAAAGTCAGATAAAGGTTTAAATAAACCTCTTATTAGGGAAAAAAAAAAATAGAACATAGACACGCTCTTATGCTAACAAAATAAACTACATATTGCGGTGATTAGTTAAACAGAAACAGTCAAATTCAGACCAAAATGTAGACTAGCAGTCAATTTAATTTTAAGCTAAGCTAGCTTATTAACTCTTTCGTCATGACAAATTCAAATGCAATGATAATGCAAAGATAAATAATTGCAAATTATCAGAGCTGGCAGGAACTAATGCAGCGTGCCCGCCAAAGCCAGAAACACATTGTTTTACTATCCAAAAACCTCAGTTTAGAAACTATCTAACTGATTTTGCGTTCTGGCGAGGAAAAGGAAAGGGGACGTTATAGTAGAGACTGAAATTATAAACAATTGGTTAATTTATATAATAATATCTATACATATCTTTGAAGAATAATTTTCTTTCTCTTTATGTATCCAGTTTCTTTCTTCAATACATTTCCTCTTCATTTTAGAAATTTTGGATTGAACTTATAAGGTATTTCTCCCTCCTCCTTAGCGTGCCTCTGTGGTGTAGTAGTCTGCATGCTGGGCGCGTATTCCATGGTTCGATTCCCATCGAAAGTGCTGCTCATCTTTCCTGCTTCAAAAAAATCCTAATGTCTCTACAGTGGCGCCCGAACTAAAAAAGGGTGGTGGATGAAGGATGATTCTCCACACCCAGGATTTGGCAATTGGGTCACCTAAAAAAAAAAAAAAAACCCAGTCGCCCTTTAAAAGGGGGAGTATATAAGGTATTTCTCCTGCCTTCTTAGCGTGCTTTTGTGGTGTAGCGGTCTGCATGCTGGGTGCGTATTCCAGAGGTCCGTGGTTCAATTCCTAGAGAAGGTGTTGCTCATTTTTCATGCTTCCAAAAAATCCTAATGTCTTGACAAATTAAAGATTTCTGTTATCCTAAAAACTAAATGAGCAGAAAAAGCTACTAATTTTATTTCTTTAGTAATATAAACATTCAGAATAAATATGAAATGATACATGGTAATAAGGCCCAGTTACAGAGACAATGTGGCCAAATTTTTAGAATTTAGTGACCCACCGAGCAAAAAAAATCTAGAAATAGTAAAACTTTTAGAATTTAGGATAGGCACGAAGTGCAAAATATAAGAAAGCACTAAGTAGCAGAGCTTAAAACCTAGCGCCAGCCCTGTTTGATGAATTGAAACATATAAGATGGATCTTTTAAATTGTTAGTTTTCAATTTCTAAATAAATAGAAAAATTCCTTTCTGTAAATGTCTGTCCATGTGATAGGATTACAAGCATTTTTGATATTTTCCACACATTTGTCTAGTGAAAAGTAGAGCAAACAGAAGAAAGAAGAGCATGTTAAAAAAAACTTCTAGTGTCAAAAGTAAAACATTCAAATATTATGTTTCCATTGTTCTTTCAAAACTCTCCAACAAGTAACAATTTCACCACAAAATTTCTGTAAAATACACCCATCACGTGTTAATACCATGAAGACATTTTTCATTTTGTAAAATTTTTCTCGAATATTCTAGAATCTTGGGTCTTTAAATCTTGCTTTCAAATTCTTCTAAACTTTCTAAGCTGCAATGCCTAAAATCCTAAAGAAAAATTACCTCTACCAATCCTGTAACAGCAAAATGCCAGAAATATTTTGAGGGGGGAAGAAAAATGTGTAAAATGATGATGCGCACTCTGAGATAGCTGCATGGGAAAAATGTTAACCATGAAAAAAATTAAAAAGAAGACATTTTTAATTAATTATATAGCTACTTTGCTTTTGCTAAGAATTATTTCATAAATTGTGCTTTATTACCTTGTTTATTTTTCAGATTCACAATATTGCATAATAAGTCGCCAAGATGGAAAGTAATATCCCTTTGTAATATTTCAGTGAAAAAAAAAATGTTTCATTTTAATGTTATTTTTTAAATATAATTTCAATATGTTATCATTATTTTAATGATTTTTAATGTTAAAATGTTTAAGAAAAATCGTCAAAAAATTTCCAGATTGCCGAAAAACAATCTTTATAGAAACTGATCTTAAAATCGCCAAAATGTTGATATGTCACCAAATTTAGAACCGTTTAATAAAAGAATTCACATTAGCAAAAGCGAAAAGTTGTTTAAAAGCTATTCATTAGAAAACTATGAAATAAATTCGAAATGCTTACAGGTGTGATTCACTTTTTGCCCAGAATGTCGAGTATCCTAACCTTTGTATTAGAAACAGGAAGAAATTATAACCCATTCACCCATTTAAAAAGATACCATATTTATCAGTGAATCACCAAAAATATTCCTCCACAATGTTAATTCACACTCAAAATAGCAGTCATAAAAACAGGCAAAAATTCCAGATCATTAAAATTAAGGACCTTCTGCCGATTTTGGCAGAAATTAAAGACTTTTAAGGACCAAAATTCAATTCCAAAAAACCTAAGGACTTATAAGGACCGTACAAACCCTGATATAACATAACCTAGTTTCCCAAACTTCACTATAGATATACCCTTGTATCAGTATGTATCACTTGGATATGATAATAATGAATCAGTAACTTGGATAATATAATTATATAATATGAAATTACAGTTAAATTCCTGCTGAAATTAATTAAATGAAAATGAGTGTCTGGCACATAACCTCTAAGCTGAAGTGCTAAACACAAGTTAAACATACAGGGTGATCTTTTTTAATGTGTGTGTGATTATGGCAAAGCCTCGAGGGCTATCTGCCTAAAGGGAGGGATGCCTTTCGTGGAGGACTTTCTAAGGGAAACTGGCTCGTATATACACGTTACACATGGGGAAAACCACGAAAACGCCCATGCAGCCAGCCCGTTCGTGGGATTCGAACCTCGGACCGAACTACCAGTGTTCAGCGACTTTACCGCTCGGCCGCTGGTGGGCTGATCTTTTTTAAAGTGACAGCGTTTGGAACGCCCTGTAGCACGATCTAATAGCCAAAATGGCACCAAACTTGGTATTTAGACTAATCAAGACATGGGAAAAAGGATTCCGTGAAAAACAAATTTAGTTCCAAAAATCGTCACTAGGGCATTTTGTGGCGCTGCTGTAGCTTACAATAACGAGAATTAGCATAAAACACGAGTATCAAAGACAAATGCAAATGTGCAATGACAGTGCCAGAATAGAGGCTATAAAAGCAAGTAGTAGACAGCTCTGACAAATAATCTCAGCTGAAGTAAACGAGCTCCAGTGGATATGCCTCTCATGTTACCGGAACGTGCTTTACTGGTGAAGCTGCATTACATGAATCAATGTAATGCATCCGCAGCTCTTCGGAAATTTCGAACCAGAAAAAAATAACGAAAGAGGCCTTTATTGCTGAATAATCTTAAGAAAATGATTAAGAAGTTCGAGGAAATGGGGTCACTGACCATTCGCGCTGGGAGAGGACGTAAACCAGTATCAGAAGATGTAATAACTGATGTGGCAACTGCAATTGTCAAAGGAATGCAGGGAACCATTGCTGGTACTAGCAGCGCCCGGGGTGTAGCTCGACAATTAGACATGAATGGAGAGTTTTGTGGCGTGTTATTGGATTTTACCCCTACAAAATCAGCCGCTTGCACGAACTGAAACAAAGTGATTATGATAAGCGAGTGACATTCGCTCTATCGTTTCTTGCCAGGGTAGAAATTGATGATGGTTTCCCATGGCACATTCTGTGGGGAGATGAGTGCCATTTTTATCTCAATGGGTCCGTAAACACACAAAATAGCCAAATTTAGGCTTCTGAGCAGCCCCACACCATGCACGAAATCCCATTAGATTCCCCAAAAGTCACTGTTTGGTGTGGTTTCACAGATAAATTCGTAATTGGGCCATTCTTTTTTGAGACCATCACTCCAACAGGACCCCAAACGTGCACCATAAATGCAAAAAGGTACCACGAAATGCTGCAAACATTTGTTATTCCACAACTTCAGCAAAGAAACCGTCTCCAACAGACAATCTTTATGGAGGATGGTGCTCCGCCACACATTAGTAATAAGGTAAAGCATCTGGTGCGCCAAAACTTCACTGATGATAGAGTCATAAGTTGCAGTTTTCCAGTTGCATATGGCCGCATCGTTCCCCTGCCCTCACGCCATGCGATTTTTGGCTCTGGGGTTATTTGAAATCTCAAGTTCATATTAGTGGAGTATCAAATTTCTCTATTCTAAAGGACAACATATCAAAGACAATGCGGAATATTCCTCGTGATATGTTACATAGGGCTGTGGAGAATGTTGTGCACAGAATACACGGTGTCATTTCTGAGAATGGTGCTCACATTGAATGTGATCTAATTCCTCACTGGGGAAGTTAATGGAGTAAATAAACATTAATATTTTAACTGTACGATTGTATGTCTTGATTAGTCTAAATACCAAGTTTGGTGCCATTTCGGCTATTAGATCGTGCTACAGGGCGCTCCAAACACTGTCACTTTAAAAAAGATCACCCTGTATTTTGCATCCAGTACTGTACAATAGATTTATAAAATCAAAATATATAACGATGAAAGCTGATACATGAAAAATTATGCAGGCAGCTGTGAGACTTGGTGTGAATTGCAGGACACACTGAGCACTGACTTTTCGAACGGGCATTGCGGTCTCGGGTGACACCCGAGACCTCGCCTGTCTGAGCGTCGGATGAGACTTGATGAAGGAGCTTGCTCCTACTTGGTCGTATCGGATGTAAAACTCTTTTGACTACAGTCTCGTACCAATTAAGAAGTCAATCAAGGGTGAGAGAGATGATGCTAAAAAAGGAGGGCCATAACCTCAGAATAACAGAAATGGTTTCAAAATTGCACTAAAATAACAATAAATTACTTGAAAATCATCTAAAATTAAATAATAAACACTGATGTTGATTAAACAATCAAGAGGCAAGTCACCAGCCACTCAAATGCTTCAATCAAAACCTGTTAAAACACCAACATTCCATTAAGTGATGCACTGACAAAATATATTACAGTATGAACAAATAGGTTCACTCTCAACTTTTAAAAGGTAAGGTTGTGTAATTTGCATGTGACCAATTTTAAGATGAGTTAAAATAACTATCTCCTTCCGATTTTTAGTGGTCTCCCTATACTCTACCTGTTTCCTAAGTTTGACACTTCTCAGCTCATTGAGATGATGATCATCCAAGAATAACTGCCATTTACTCAAGCTTCTCACCTTGATGACCATTCTGATATCTCTGTAGGGGGACAAGCCAATAAGGCAGTTCTTCAGAAGACATTGTTAAAAAATGCTTATTTTAATTTAAAGTCATGACACTGAAATTAATAAATGGCGCTTCAGTTCAAACAAAGAATGAACTTGAACTCAACACAGTTTCACTCATACAGGGTAAAGTATCTATGAAATAGACTGTTGAATGAGGAAAGATACTTAATACCATATAATACTTCAAGTTTCTTCATGAGGCCAAAGATCAACTATAATTCTGCAAGCATAGAAGCTAAAGGATTTGCAGATAGAGTTGATAGCAACTTTCAACTACTATTCCCTACAATAAAATTAAAATTTAACGGTTTGGCTAGATGGGTCAGAAAGCTCTACTTGGACTTTATTTATCCCTGTAACTAATTCTACAGAGTTTTAATGGGATTTTTAATATATTAAGGATATTTTGAGAGATCATAATAAACTACATCTGTAGCACAAAAATGCTTCAGAATGCTAATTATACCAACTACTCCATCTTTAAGCCTTGCATACAAACTATTTGTCATCTTCAAAGATTTATTATCGTTATTTTGTGTTTCTCTTTGTAAATGATGCACAAATGGCACAAAAATGCTCTAGTGATTCAAGTGCATCATCTTAACCAAAGGATCCATCCCTTCTGAATTAAAATACAACTGGAGCATCAAAGACCACCTGCCCCCAACATTTCTTAAACACAACCTTTATGATAGGCATTATGCAAATTATGACGCATTCATTACTTTGCATCATTTCAGTATAATACATAAATGAAACTCGTGATAAAATATCATGTTTCAGGACATTGGCACTATGTGACCCCACTCACTACACTACTTTCACTCACTACAGTTGTGAAATTTTGTGAATACCTGTTAGCAAGGCTCTCTTCCAAAGTATTTTTTGAGAAATATCAATGACACTAAGTTATCATTTGAATGCTTATTCAAAAGTCATTTATTGTGAATTTGCATTCATTAACTGCAATAATTCTTGCCTAGCTGTACAAGAGTTAGTTATCACAATGCCTTACATATGAAACCATTCTCATCTTTGGTAATATCTTTTAACCAAGTTCTTGTAATAATTGATGGTTGCCTGCAATATATACTTTAAAGATTCATCAGATAGAACCCCTTGACATGTGCACAAGATTATGACCTCTCTGTGCATTAAGCCCTTTGGAATAATCAGACATAATAATCTCTTTTCATTGTTGACATCTGTTGTTTAATTCCATTTTTCCATTTTCATCAACAAACAAAACATGTGCAATATACAACTCTTCAGCTTCATTCTATGAACTCTAAAGCACATGACAATATTTCTAAGGTGTTCTAAATTCTATAATGCATTTTACCATAATCAGAATTATGGCCTTTCACAAGAAAGGGTGACTAATTTTCTGCTTGCTAAGGACAACAGTTTAAAGTAATGAAAGAAAAAATAGAATACACGCTCTTTTATTTAAAAAAAATTCAACAGAAGTGTTAAAAACTAATTTTAACACATCCCAAACTAACATTTGTTTCAAAGAGAAACACTATGTATATCACAAGAGGCTTACACCAATATCTCTTCCTCAAAATGCACAGTTTTCACATAAAATTCAAAGCTTTAATTTGAAATTTAAAATTGCCATTCTTCTCTATTATGCAAAAATATTCAAACATAAATGAACTAAATACAGATAATCATAATTACTAATAATTTTCAAATAATTACTTTATCCTTGAAATTCTTATTGAAATATAACAATTTATATAAAATATAGTACTTTTCATACAACATTTATAATTTCATTAAAATCTTTAATCAAACCTGTGAAGAGCCTTGACAATATAATGAAGATTATTCATTCTAAATATTGCACGCAAGTACTGATCACTATAAGCTTCACTTTTATTTTGAAGAGTTACACTTAAAGCTGACAACACTCTTGCTGAAATAAAATAATAATAATAATAAGCAATAAAACATAAATACTAAATTAAAAAAACCATATTAAAGGAAAAATATTTTTGACATTTAAATGATACAATGTACAGAACAGCTTTGGTCAAATCAATATAAACAGCTTAAAATCAATGTTAACTTTTCTTGATAAATAAAATTTTTTGATTACTCAATCCCTGTCTCTTCAAATTTTGCTTACCGATATTCTGACTACTTTTCTTTCTTTATATTTGCATACTTTTTGCCCATTAGCACAAATATATTAAACTTTATTTTTAGGACCTCATCACCATGATTTAAGCATTTTCAGAAAAGATTTAAGCATTTTCAGATTGTAAAAATAATGAATTTGAATTACATCACACAGAGAAATTTTGCATATTAAAATGCACAAAAATTTTAAGCCTCCATTCAAATACGAATTTAAGCTTCAAGAAATACATAAAGTGCAAGTCATTTTCATTACTTATATTCCACAATAATTTACACAGAAATGCACGACATAAATTATGGTTCATTTATTTATTTTAAATCTTGTAACTTTTTCCTCCTTCATATTAGCTCATGATTAAAAGCAAACAAAGCTAAAAACAAAAATTTTAACATTACTGTAACCCTCTGCGTATGGTCTCATAATTTTGACATTTTGTTTTGCGCCTAGATGGTGCTACAGGCTTATATCATTGTAAGGGAGTACTATTTTTTCTTCATGGCCGAACACAATCGATACCGTTGCTTCTTTCATTCTTGGCAGGAACTGTCTTTGTCATTTATGCGGTAAGTGCAAAAATATTTATTTGCCAAGTTCCAGTGGCATTTTACCTGTGAATAAAAAACTAAACTATGTTGATTATGAAGACAGCAATAGTGACAGTGTACTTGAATATTCCATAATGTTGGGGAGTGATGATAATAATGAAAATTCATCAGGAAATCAATGCTTTGGAAGTGAAACCAAAACAGAAGACTCAATGATAACAATGATAGTGTAATTTGTAATGCTAGTATGTCGACGAAAATAAATATGAAAAATCCTCCTCCAGCTTCCCCTATATTCCCATTTTACGGTGATCCTAAAGTGTTAGCCAATATAACTGTTGATGATGAGACTTTAGAATTTTTTAGCTTCTTTGTAAATGAAGACTTACTCGATTTGGTAGTAATGAAACTAATAGATTTGTATCTCAACATCCTGCTAAGAAACCTAAACTTTCAAAGAAGTGTAAACCATAGCAGCCGATTAATGTTGATCAAATGATGTTATTTTTCACACTTTTACTTTTGCAAGAGACAGTAAAAAACCCAGATTATCATTGGTATTGGTTGAAAAGACAATCTATAAAAACACCAATATTTTTTCAAATAATGCCATGTGATCCTTGATTTCATTTCATTGATAACGAAAGTTATGACTCTTTAACACACCTTTACCCTAAGTTATGGAAAATTTACAATGCCACTGAACATATCAGGAAAAAGTTTTGGAAACATTCAATCCCGAAGAGCAGGTCAGTGCAGATGTATCCCTAATGCTTTATAAAGGTCGTTTGTCATGGAAACAGTATATTCCTTTAAAACGCTTTCGGTTTTGAATAAAGCTTTTCATGTTACGTGAAGTCTCATCAGGTTATATATGCAATTTTCTTTTGTGCGTGGGAAAAGGCATGTGTTTCATAGATGAATACTCAGCATATTCACAATCAACTGCTATTGTTCTTTAGTTAGTACACCAGTATCTGAACAAAGGATATATGTCTAACTGTCAATAATTATTATATGTCTCAATATTTGGCAGATATACTTGTTCTAAAGAAAATAGGCATATATGGAACACTTTGTAGTACTAGAAAGGACTTACCTCTAGGCTTTTCAAATGAAAAAGATGAAAAGGTTCAGTGCATTGCATATTAGCGTGGAAACGTTATAGTGCTAAAGTGCAATGATAAGAAAATAGTAAATATGCTTAGTTCTTCTCATGTTACGTCCCCTGTATCAATTTATTCAGGGATGGTAAAGGAAAAACTAAAGCCAAAAGTGATTTATGATTATAACTTTACAATGGGTGGTCTAGACAGATGCAATCAGGAAATATCGTACTACCCTAGTACCCAAAAACAACTTCATAAATATTACAAGAAAATATTTTTTTATATATAAGATCAAGCACTGCGGAATTCGTATATAATATAGAGAAAAATAACAATCTCAAAATCCCTTCTTGATTTCAAGCTAATCGTGATCGAGGAAATCTTTGACAAATACTCTTCTGCTATATGCTCATCAATACGGCCTAGTGATGATTGTATGAACTCTATTAGTCTTGTAGGGAGGCATTTTGCAAGCCACATACCACCAAATCCTATAAAAAAAGAACCTAGAAGCAATGTACTATGTGTTGCTCCAAAAAAGACAACAATGGGAAAAGAATACGTAAAGAGACTTGCATTTGGTGTGAAGAATGTAAAGTTGGATTATGTTTAGAGCCATGTTTCAAAGTTTATCACACTAAAAAAAAATTCTGTACAATAATAAGTAAGTAACATTATTAGCTGTACAAATTAGTTAGCGTGTATATTTATTAAAATCAAAAAGATTCTGTGAATTTTTATATTTTTATTTCATGCACGCTAAAATTGCATGAATCATCATACTGTATGTTTTTTTCAATTAAAAAACTATTAAAATTCCTGCATTATACTAATTTTGCTTATAAAGATATGACTAGTAATATATGAAGATAGAGAAAATAAAATAATAATAAAACCCCACCTTGTCTTTCAGAACCAGAATGTATCAAAATCGAGCAGTACATGGAGGATTAACAGACTAAAGATAGAAATTAGCTAAAAGAAAGTATATGTGTGCAGCCTGGTTCAAACTTAATCAACTTCCAATTAAAAAAAGATAAAATCAATACATTTAGTTTATACAGCTGTTTTATTCAGCAGTTATAAGCGACCACTTGTTAAACTTCAGGACACTTTTAATTTTCAAAATATTAAAACAACATCTCTTGTTTCAAGTACACTTCATTTCATTAAAACATTTTACCCTCAAACATGCACACTAAATTTTAATGCAACTCATGATCCCCTTTGGAGAATATTATTACAAAATACCTTCAATGCAATCCAATTTCCTATTTCTTTAGCTGAAATTTTAATTAAACAATAAATTCTTTCAAATCTTTATACTATTCTGAATATATAAGAATTCTTTTATTCTATTTTGAATATATTTAAGAGGTTTTAAACATATCAGCATATGCAAATCATTATTTTAAACTTGTTTCATGAAACTAGAGACTACTTACTTATATACTGAGCAAAGGATAATTTTCTTTTGTCTTTAGAAGTTGCAAATGAGGTGTCTTGCAATGTTAAAACACTTCCCAAAATATCTTGATAATCCTGAAGTTGTTCTAAAAGCATTATAGCCTAGAATTTTTAGACATATTTAAAATGTAAATAGTGTAACATAGACATTGCATAAAAATACAGACATATTTAATATAAAACAAACACAAATTAATTTATAAAATTCACTATCGTATATATTAAATTACTGCATTTACCTACATATGCCTCCATGTAACTTTCCCTTAGTTTTTTCCCGCATATGATTTAGAAACTTCTACTTTGTGGTAACAATGTAAACTATATGCACAAACAAGAAATTATTTTTGTAATTGAAAGTACTGAAACTGAGAAATCCTTTGAAATACATAACACAATAATATTAATGTGCCTTTATGTGTGCTTTTTAATGTGCCCTGTTTATCATGTAAGCCATCACTTTAAAAATTTTATATATTACCAACAAAATATGAAACCTGGCATTCTATAGAATACCTAGGCATTTTATGGTATGCTGAAAATTGGCCAACAGTCTAAACGACAAACCAACAAAGTATAAAATATATTTTAAATTTGTTTTAAATATCCATACATTAATTACATTCACACACAATCAATATTTAATACATCCATTCCATAATTTCACTCACTGTTTTCTTTAATAAGACAGGTATAAATTTTGTTTTGTACAATTTTAATTTTTCTTTATGTATTTTTTATAAAAAAAATTTTCATGACACTCTTTCATAATTCTTTTCAAAATAATATTTATATTTTTGAGGAATGCATGTCTTTTAAATAATAGTCTTATAACCTTTTTTCATACTTTTCCTGGAAAGTACATAATAATTTTCGTTTTTCAAATTATGCCTAAAAATGCCTAGGTATTCTATAGAATGTCGGCGTTTCATACATTGTCAGTAATACATACACCATGCATTTTTCATCTTCTACTTTTCAAGTGGTAAAATTAGTAGTAGGAAAAGAGGGATAAATATGCGAGTAAATATTTATACATTTTCATAAATTATTGTACATTAACTTACATTACTAGTCAGCTGGTGCACTGTTCCATCTTTTGGCATTTTAGTATCAGGATCATTTTTTATACTTTCTATAAATTCTTCAAGAGTTTTGCTAATCTGAAATTATATAAAAACTTACATATTTTAAAAGGAAAACAAACTAACCTTTAACATGAATGCTAACATTCTTTAATGCTTTGATTCAACAAGTCATGGAGGCAGAACGAACAGTACATTCTAAGTTGGTACTGTTCATTAGATCTAATATTACTATAAAGATTGAAAGAGAAGTAAAACGCATGTAGATCTGATCATAAATCAATTTGAACATACAAATAAATAACAAATAGCAAAATACATATAATATTGATAAAAACCTGAAAGATTATTAAGCTTCTTAATGCATCAAGAGGATAAATTGAAATGCCCAAAAGCAAGAGAAATCTCATATACTGATCAATGTACCACACATTTTGGAATTTATTTCTGGTTTGGAATATAGCTAACAAATAATGCAATAACTTCATAAAAAATCTGCATGCATAACAATTCTTTATCTTGAAAAACTACTAGTAAGAAAAGAAAATAATAAATATTTAATTGAAAAATCCTACACTTAAAAGCCTGCAAAGAACTGAATTAAAAGCAATCAGTATAAAAAGAAATTATTTTTTAAATAGGTTTTTTATCTCAGGAAAATTGTATACAGCAATTAATTTAGGAAAGTGAAAAAAATTTAGGCCTGAGATGTAAATTATTCTTCTAAAGTGCTTTTATAGCTGGAAAAGTGTAAAAACTGGAGTAACTATTTAAAATAAAAAATATTCAAAAAGTAATAAGAATAAAAACTATTAGTTATCCTGTGTTTAATGTTTCAAACATAAGGTTAACAGTTATTTTCAAGGGGTTAGTATTTAAAACATTAAACCTGGATGATTAATCCGATAATTGATTGTTCTTGCATGCAAATTAATATTTCTATTCTTATAATGTCAAGAACTATCCTGACATGCCATTCGTTACACTATGAATTATAAGTACAGAATATAAGTAAATTTTAAAATCAACCTAAAATTAATTGTAAAAAATAGAAAAACAAAGTTCACTGAAAGAAATATCTAGAAAAACTGTACACAAATACATTCGAAAATGTTATTCTTTTGTTTAATTATGAAAACGTACAAATTACTCTTAATATTACAATTAAGAAACAGTTGACTCGAAAACGTGATTATCTAAACTCTTAACTCTATAATTTTCGAAAAAAGAAATTTACATTAAAATAATAAATGTATATGTATAAAAAATTTATACATATA